GCCTTGTGGAGCTTGACTGCGGTTCGACTCTGCGAAGTGATTTCAGAGTTGCGGAACGTGCGAAAGCGCAGACAGGGGAATCCGCCCGTTTAACCAAAACAAAGCATCACGATGATTCCAACGGAAGTCGACGCAATGTGTTCTCTGCTCAGTGTTCTGCATGTTGAAGTAATCGACGCAATGTGTTCTCTGCTCAGTGTTCTGCATGTTGAAGTAATCGACGCAATGTGTTCTCTGCTCAGTGTTCTGCATCTCGAAGTAAAAGGGATCAACCAAACGTGGGGGAAACGAGCACAAGGTAACGCTGTATCTTCCAAGTTCCCGCAGGAGATCCCTCGTTGATTGCTGAGCGCACGACGCCGCAGCCCTCTGAGGGCACAGAGACTTATAGAGAATCTTTCCGAGTTCTGGCTGCTGGTTCATTCTCGTTCTCTCGGGATCGGGCGCACGCCGCTCCGAGAAGAAATGAAGACTACCATCATTACTTCATCTCACTCATCTGATGAGTGACCACTCTCACGCAGATGAGGATGCTGGTATTGGGTTGCTGAATTCCGCGCTGCCGAGCGCTTGCTGACTGGATCGCCGAAACTGTTTAATGAGATGATTTGTTGAAATTTCTAAGTTGCGCATATCCGGTCTTGCGTCTCTCCGGACTCAAGTGCGGGTTCGTGTGGTCTTACAACAGATGCAGTTTGGACTCAGCTGAGGATTCAAGTTCAGACCCGGAATCAGAGCAAGGATTCAGGCCGCGGATGCAGACCCAAGACGTTCAGACCCGACAGAGGACACAGACCTGGTCGAAGACCCAACCTCAGCCAAACCCCTGACCGGCAGAAGCTCAGATTCATACGGATTTGGGAGATTCTATAAACTTGGGAAGGTGCAGTTTTCAAACAACGGTTCAGCGGCAGCGACCAATGGCAATCAGATACACAGTCAGGTGGCCAGCACTGGGATCCGGACTCAAGAGTAACTAAAGCAACTGCGAATTCCGTACCAAGGGGGGGGGATGAGTGAGCGGCGAACTTCTACAGACCCAGAAGAATCTGGGTAGGATATCGGCCGACCCAGATTCCGAGGAGTCTCAACTGGTCATCTACCGCCGCGAACTGAGAAAAGCCTCCACAGAATTGTGAATCAGACGGATCAGAAAAAAACTTATTAGATCCGTAAGTCATATCATCAACACGATTTCCTTTTATGTTGTCATTTAAGGGACGCTGAGCCCGGTTCTCAGCCAGAGTCGTGCGACCACTCCGGGTAGACTGTGAGGACCCCGGCCTCAGCTTTTTCATTGA